AACAACGGTAACATATTAACCTTCTGAGACATGATGTGTTGACAAATTTTACCATGCTGTCTACCTATTACTATATTCCTTCAACTATTGGTGTTTTCATCCATCCAGCTAACTGCTTAACTGCTTATCCACTTTAGATACACTGGGGGGCTGAAGCCTATCCCAGCTGATTTGGGGGAATAATAGACTACACCTTGGAATAAGGTGTAGTCTATGAATATGAATAAACATGTATTTTCAGCAATGTAAATAAACAAATTTCACATTGCTGAAAATACATGTAACTGCAAGATATCTTATGTGTATATGTTTAAAAGTGAAGCAAGCTGATTCTTTTCATTCTTTTTAACTGTATACCACTGTATACTCTGTGGTATACAGTTAAAAAGGCATCAAAGGCATTAAAGAGTTAAGTTACAGTTCTATGCTTTCTATGTCTAGGTGGTAACTGAAAATGACTGGATATGCTGCAGTGAAAAACATGCCACCAGCGTAAATAAATGTTTGTCATGTGGTGAGAGAGTTAATCAAATATATTCTATTGTTTGACAACACGCAAAGTAATTTCCATATAAATCCATGCATACACTCATTTAGAACATTTTAAGTCCTTCAAGCAGTCGACTGACAAAGATGCTTGCTTTAAGCTACCTCTGACTAAGATCCCCTAGGACACGGCTGCCAGTACAACTGCTTAATGCCTTAAGGTTATTGAGGTTAAGGGTTGAGAAACATAACTATGTTATACATTTTAAGGTTGGACTCACAACTAAGAGAACCCTATGCACCATAGGTTTAATTTCTTGTCATGCCATGTGATCTTCCATCAGTGAGCAGGGGGAAACCCCATTGATTGAGGGGAAGCACTGCAGGATTAGAAATAACATGCAGTTCTCAATGCTGCACAACCTGTGGAATACCATTCCTTTTTTAAAAAATGGTGAAAAATCACATTCCAGTGCAGTATTTCACCATTTTTAATTAATTAATCAGCTTTTTGTACAGACAGATGCAAAACTAAATAAAACGATTAAACAAAGCATTTGCATTTCTTACAAAAAAGAGCAAACAAAGGACATTTAAAGTCCTCCATCTTGGGATAATGGCATTACTGCTGAGAATCAGTGGATTGTTTTTGATTAAGTTTTGGCTGCCTGAGTGTATTATTCTGAACACTGGCATGGTGTAACATCAAACCACAGCAGCACTCCCCATTCATCTCTGCAGGGTGCTTGATAGAGATGTTGTTTCAGCAGTTCTTTAACCATTACCTAACAGCTATATGGCTGAAACATAGAAACAATGCCTACAGCAGCATCTGAATGACACAACACGAATGATATAAGAGCAGCATTTTCTCTTACCACTCCTGTTGTGGTTCATCAATGACCAGGAGAATTTTAAACTTCTTAGGTGTCGTGACTTGGGTCTGCTCCACTAGCCCTGCAGAGGCAGCTGTCTGCTTAACAACGTTGGTAATGGAACTGAAGAAACCCGCTCCTGTCGACTGAACTGGCTGGGGTTTCCTCTCTGGAGCAGGGGAAGTGGCTGGAGGTGTTGGCCCAGATGTCGGAGACTTGGCAGGGGTGTTGGAGGCAGGTGGAGGAGGCTGAGCAGGATCGGGCCTCTGAAGGTCTGTCATGTAGCCATTGGGCAGGTTGGAGATGAACGTGCTGTCTGAGAGACGCCGACGCAAATAATTCATGGCTGCAGAGGAGCAAGAAGAAGAGTCAACAAGCACTGGGTGTGGAAAAGTATTCTGCCGAGAAGCCCCTGTTCTCAGTGGTACAGCTGATAATGGCTGAGCTCTCAGTGCAAACTCCCAACAAATGTATTCCCTCTCAGCTCAGTGGAGCATCCTCGAAGCTCCCCCTCACTGGCAGTGACGCTACACTTTCCCATAGCCAATCACTTTACCCCGTGCTTTCCTCAAGCATTGCAAATGATGCTCTGGCTGTGCCTCTCCTTCCTGCTATCGCCCTCCACTCTCTCCTCTCTCTCCCCCCGGCATGCCTGCCTTTTCTACCCCTCCCCCATTTTCTACTGCCTTAGAGACGTCATCCTTTTTTGAACCAGAGCATGAAAAATAGAGGGGTTTCCAGTGAAAGTGCAAAAAGGTGTACTGTGTACTACATCACCCTCCCCTTACTCCTACTCCCCTTGTTACTCAGGTTCACCCTGCCCTCTGTCTGGGTGCTGTTTTCCCTGCTTATAGAATGCAGCCATGAAATCTAAAATGGCTGTTAGGACTGGTGAATGAGAAGAAGCGTCATCAGCCGTCCCTTGAGAAACAAATTCATGCACTAAAACTCTCTGTCTTAATTGTTTAATGAATCTCTCTCTATGTAATAATTTTCCTTATTATAATTTACTACAATAGTTGTTTAATTTAAAAACATTACAAACTCACTTGGCTAACATGTCTCCATTACGGGTGGCACAATTCATTGTGTTCATTATATTTTATATAAACGTTTGATGCTTATGAGAGCATAAAAACACTGCATGCAATATTCTTAGCACTAATTATCACAAGGTTCACTAAAAACACAGTAATTTCTGTAAAGCACTTATTAATTATATAAGACAAAACAAAAGACTGGATTTTTTAAACAATTCAATAAATCAATAACTTGTGATGTGCAGTGGTAAAAGGTTGTTAAAGTGTAAAAAGATAAATTCAAACATAGGCACACATAAAAAAATTGCAAGTCAGGACATTGAATCTTTATATCGCAGTTTGAGTATATTTTCTAATGAAGGGCTAATATTACTATATGACTTCATTCATCATGGCATGACTTGTTAACTAGAAATCTTACAGCCCCACTTCAGTCCTGCATTTTAACGGTTAATAACATGGTAAAATATTAATACAATACTTTTTTAGATATTATGAGATACTTGCACATACCGTGTATATTTTATATGTTGTTTATGACATTTCAAATTGCTAAATTTTTACATGGAATTAGTTTTATGCTTTATAAATATTTTTACAGAATTTGAAGATTTCCTCTAATACTAAAAATCTGAAATTGGAGAAAATTCCTCTGTTGCTTGGCAACGTGACACAATAATAATAATAATAATAATAATAATAATAATAATTTATATAATTAATTCTATGGAATATAAATTTACCTTATGAATTGAATTTCAGGTCTACAACTATTTATTCATTCATTTTACATTTCACTGATTAAGGGAAATTCTGGGAAATATGATATTAGTATTTTCTGACCCTGATCTCTGTCATTTGTGCAAAATGCCTGTAAACCTGTTGACAGTCAGCTACTATATATCTTTTACTGACTCTGTAGGACTAGTTGTTAGCAGCAATTTGGATTATGTTTAGCGAGCCAAAGCAAATAAATGGTGCTTAAAAGAGGAAGGAGAGAAGACAGCGGGATAAGTATACCTCTAGGACTTTAGATTTGAGCAGGGTCCAGGCCTGCCCTCTACTAACTGTGCCCCGTCAGCTGAATCCTACTGACACACTTCAACTACAAGTTATACTAATTCATAAAATTTAAAGTTAAAGCTCATTTCACTAACAAGCTAGTGTGGGCTCACTTTATTTCCTGAGTTTAAATAATTTAGTGCTTCTGCAGCAACTGTAGTAACTAGCGAGACTAAGGAGTACACTGAATAGATGGGCTTATGCAGGTCAGACTTTGGGGAGCACCCCTCATGTTTCTGCAACTAAAAAGATGTCATTTATCAACTTGTGCAGCTTTAATACATGACCTTACTGAAAACTGCTAAACAAATGGAACTGTATTGAAGATATTGTGTGCTCACAGCCAACAAGCATGGACACGGAGATATTGTGTGTGGTGAATTCATTGATCCACTTCTGTACTGAGAGAAAATGTCTCTTGTGTTTGTATCCTGCTTTGGCATGTTTACAACTGTTACTAGCTGCTATTTCTTTATGAATGTACTATGCATGAATACTTGTAGCTGTGCATCTTGCATATATGGGGTGGGGGGGGTGGAATACCAAGATCACTTGAGCCCAATTCTCCCCTCTCAAAGCTTTTGCTAGTCCAGTTTATCAGTTGATATGGTGTAAAGATTTGTGATTAACAGGCTCCTCTGTTTTGTTGCATGCTGGCAGACATTACAGTTATCTTTATGTCACTTTAACAAGGGTGAATTTTGTTTTTGGGGTTGTGGCAGCGTAGTTGAGGAAGATAATATGAGTTTATACATGAGCTTAGATAAATGTGACCATTCTCTCGATCGCTGACTGGGGTTGTTGTCCATGGTTTTAATCAAAAGCTAGAATGATGCTATTGGTAAAGCTGATTGTTGCTATATGCTAGTAATTTTGCACCTACAGTGTGTGTGTGTGTGTGTGTGTGTGTGTGTGTGTGTGTGTGTGTGTGTGTGTGTAGAATCGGTAGAGAATCTATTGGCTGAAATAAATAATAAGAATAATCTGAAAATAATATTGCTAAAAGATGGTGTACCTTGCAATGACTATTAAACATGTGTGCTATTGTGACACCATGTGGTAGTATCAGTGTATTGAGCAACAAAACCAACCTCAGCTTTGCTTAAGTCTGAAACCCAGCCATTCTAGTCAGATGTCTGTGGATGAGACGCTCCAGCAGGGCCAGGGCATTGTGCCCTCAGTCTGTCCTCAATGTGCTGTGCTGCAGTCAGACTGCAGGAAACTAAACTCACTGCAGTGAAAATCACTGGAAACTCCTCATAATGATTCGTGTAAAATCAACAGCAGTTCAGAGAAAGCAGCTCTTTGTATGTTTACTTTCTTCACATATCAAAAACATTATCTATATGGTCAGTAGTGTCATTAAAAAAAAAAAAAAATCAAGTAGCCTATTGTGTTTCACGTTAAACCCATTTCATTTGGGCATCTTCATAGGCTGCGTAGCTTGATAAACTTGAAAAACAATGTTACTTTTAGGATGATAGGATAATTTGTTAATGGTTAATATCAAAGTGTTCATACCGTATAAAAGTACCTTTTAAATATGCTTCAAAAAGCCCCGGTTCGCCTCGTATCTCTCCGCTAGGGCCGCTCAGCTCTTTTGTTGTCTGAGGACTGCTGCTGTGTGAAAGTGCGTGAAGAAGGCAGAGTACGTAGGCAGACTCCGCTAACTATGGTGTTGCCGTAAAGCTAATTTTTGTCGAAGAAGTAAGTATCATGGAAGAATAGGAATACCCATTTTTTGGAATTCAGTTTGTTGGATGTAGACTATTGAACCTAACCTGGAACTAAGTAGATACTGACTTGTAGTTTTTAGGTTTTTGCTAGTTAAAACGAAAACCATTGACCTAGCGCATTGAAAAGTTAGCGACTTGGCTAACGTAAGTTTGTGTCGTGAGTAAAGTAGACAAAGTTCGCTGTCTTGTATTTTGGCTTCAGCAACTAAGCAGACCGCTGGTCACAATACATGTATAACATTGTATTTTAATAACAACAACCTCTTCAATATAAGCGTTTATAAACTTCGTAGTTTAATTTAAAGCTCGCACTGATGAACGGCTAGTAGCAACTAGCTCAGCGTATGCTACGTGTTTAGCTAGCCGCACTAAAGCCTGTAGTCTTCAGTGTCATGAAGTGCCTGTCGTGGAACAAAATAAAGACTAATGTCTTTTGGGATTACCATTAACTGGCGTGTAAACGTATGCCATTTTTAAAAACATGACAACATTTCTATCTCCTTTAGGATAGCTTGCTAACGTTAATGTTAGCAAGTAGCCTGTTCGTGTAAATGCTAGAATGGACATGATAAACTCTCAGTTCCTGGACAAGATGAACAATAACATTGGGAGACTGCACTACGAAGGTAAGTTTGTCTTTTTTCTTTCTTTTGGTCCTATAGTTCCTGAGTTCATTTATAAAACGCAACACGTTGTGGTTTCCCTAAATTCAGCGCCAGATACCCCTGTGTTGTGATTTGCGTTACCCTTTTGACTATCCTGACTCTAGCGTCGAGACTGACGACATGTTTAACAACTTGTTGGTGCGGAGAACAACGACTGTTTTGTTTAATAACATCGCAACTTTAAAATACGATTTTTATAGCCTGTATTTAACAAGTTGGCATTGAATAATAATAACATTCATTTGAAATTTGTAGACATTCCCAAGCTATAACAGCATACACTACAATGCTGCTTCATATGATGTAGCAGTGATTAAGCTTCAGGTTGTGTAACACTCATTTGTGCCACTGCTTAGTCAAACATCTAAAGAAATCAGGAAATTTTGCTCAAAAATGTGCTTTATCATGTTTCTACACACAGTTTCCTTTGGGCTTAGATGAGTGGGTGATTTTTAACTGCTTGTGTATTGCTCTATTGGCTTTTTTGATCAAAGTTTACTTCCCAAACAAATTGCACCTCCATACATGAAACAAAGTCAGAGTCGTTTTATAATAGGAATTCAAAAAAATAAATGTAAATTATAATTTAGTTGCCATTTACTTAATTTATGATCTCCGGTCCCCCAATAAATCTGGTATTATTTTTTTTAATTCACCAAAACCCAAAGTACTTCTCCATTATAACTATATGTATCAAGTGTTCTCCTTTGTGCAATAGCCCCAGATTATGTAATATTGTCAACTTTATTATACGTTATTTACATTGTTTTAACATTATGAAAGATGTACTTAGTCAAACTGGTTTCTACTTTGCTTTTTGTAGCTCATGGTTTATTAAAATCTGGCCAAATTGTATTACTTGGTATATTTATGAAACTCTTGATCACCTACCAGTGCAGTCTCAAAAAGTCAGTTTAAAATGAATTGATGGAATACACAGAGTCCTTATAGTTTACTGTGTTTATTGTGTATTTTATTCTGGAAACTTCCTTTTAGTCTAAATTAATTTAATTAAGTTATTTCTACTACTGAACTCTTTCCCACAGATGAGTCCAAGATGCCCTCCCTTTCTGCCACTATGTCCAATATAAGTGGGCCTCCTCCTCACTGCCCAAGCAAACGAAAATATGGCGAAGAACAAATGGAAGACCGATTCCACTGTGATGAAGACCACATGACCAAAATGAGCAGATTGTTTGCCACCCAGCTGTAAGTGCCTTTAAAAAATTATTATGATTTTGTGTGGGTCTTGAAATTATTGCTGTATTGGCTTTTTATATTTGTTGGATTGAATAAATTGTATGCAGTGCAATATATGAGTTGTAAATGTAATACATCATGTGACAAGAGTCATGCATTACAAACAGGGTCCCCGTGATACTTTTCTGATTGTCATACAAAAATATAAAATTATTAAGAAGCCCTAACAACCTTGTATTCATCTCCTTTTTTCGTTTGGTTTCATTTAAGTCTCGAAGCCAGCATATGGTTTTATTTATTTATTTATTTATTTATAAATAAATACAGCACTCAGTGTTTCAGTGTGTTCTGGCTGTGAAATGTATTTATTTTATCCAATATGGGTAAAAACATTCAGTCTGATGTTATTCACAATACAGGCTGAAAGGAAAAAAATAAATCTGACCATGACTTTAATGATCAGCCTCTTAAAGTTTGATGGTAAAGTGTGACACAGAGAACCCCAAAAAGTTGATTCTGTTGGTCTGGACATACTTCCTTACCTGGTTGATTGAGCATGCATCAAGAGTTGACACAAAGTAGTTCACTGATATAAACAAATCTTAAAATGAAGCTGTATATAATCTTAAGAAAAGTCTACAATAATAATAATTATAAAGCTGCACATTACAAATGAAAACCCCTTCCTGTACTTCATCTGTGTCTGCTTAAAAAAACATCCCCTCTGCACAACAATTAAAACAAAAGTTGTCCACGAAGCTGCTAGTACATTTTATTTTAACTGTCTTTATCAAGGGGGCGTCCCTCTGCTGGAGACAACCGTAGTGAGCACTGGAGCCTCAGCCACAGTCCTGTGGAGCACGTTATTTCCTCCTCTAATGGTCTCCATGGGAACCATCTGTATGCCTCCATTGCTGGCTATGCTGTAGACCAGCCGATACCTCTGACCAAAAGCAGCCATGACATTGGAGTTAGGGGAACAGAGAGGTCTGTCATAAGTGGAACTGTAGAGCGACAGCAGGTACGTCAACTTGTAGCACATAAAGAGAGCATTGTGATGGTTTTTTTGTTGTTGTTGTTGTTGTTGTTGTTTTTTAAAAAGGTTGCACACATTTAATTTTTTTCACCTTTCTTGTTGTTCAGTGAGATATGACCAGTGGATGGATAAAACATGTACTGAAATGCATTTACTGTGTGCAAAACAACAATTGTAAGGGTGTATTGTAAGGCTGGCAAAATCAGTTTTGAGAAACTGTTTAAATACTGACCTATTTAAACCTCTATGGTTTATTACAGTCAACAGTAAAGAAAAACACAACTACGAGCTAATGTGAGAACAAATAAAAATATGAATTTCACTAAGAGGATGAACAAAGAAAATGTTTCTTATCTGCCTGTAAAGACAACATATCAGTTTATTTTTAATATCTTTATATATTTTGGCTTATGTATTTAAGTCAGTGTAAGGAGATCAAAATAACAGATATGTATAAAGGTAAAGGTTGCTACATGTGATGGCCAGCAGAGATTTAATGCCACGATTAACACAGATGACAGAATAAAGACTGTGTTCACAGTGTGTTGGCCATGTTTCCTGTTGTCCTGTTACTAGAGTTGTCTTGCAGATTTGGGGTGCACATAAGTGGTCCGCAGCTGCGCATTTGCTGTCAAAATAAAAGACGTGCACCAGATAAGAAGTTGCAACGCGCGTTTGTGTACATATTAAAGGCACTGTTTTTGTCCGCTAGAGTGGGATTTTCACAGCATATTCTGCACCACATCTCTGTGCGTTCATCATTTGTTTGAAGCCAGCTCACCGCCTGCAACCACTTTTCGGAGAATCCACACTTCTTTTCGGACTCCTTCTGACATTTCTTTGGAGGTGGAGGAACACCAAAGTAATTGCTTAAAGGAGCTTGCTTCTTCGACATCTTTAAGAGTTCTAAACAAAGGTCTATCCTCCTCCAGAAAATCTTATGTACGCAAACGTGCGTTGCAACTTCTTATCTGGTGCGCGTCTTTTATTTTGATATATATATATATATATATATATATATATATATATATATATATATATATATATATATATATATATATATATATATATATATATATATATATATCTCTGCCTTTGCAAGATGGTTGGAAGTACTGTGTAAATACTTTATGGTTGATCACAGATGGATTAAAAAACAAACAAACATTTAACCAGTAATGTGGGTCAGTAATGAATCTTTTTTTTTTTTTTTTCTCTCTTCCTCCTTTTCTTATACAGAATCGTCCCTCGGTTATTACCTGTGCCCCTGCGAGCAACCGCAACTGCAACCTCTCTCACTGCCACATGAATGGTTGCACTACTAGCCCACCTACTGATCCGAGAATGGCTAATGGTAAGTCTTTTAAGATACTTGCACTAACAAACTAATATATTTGTCTTTCCATGTACTGATTTGCTAAAGTATGACAAAAAAAAAAAAGATCTAAAAGACCTGTGGAGTTTTAATTTCAACAGTGCTGGGTGGTTGCACAAAAATATATCCAAGTTACATATTTTTATTTTGCTAATTTAACCAATTTATCAACGTTAAAATCCAACTTTGTCAATAATTAAGAGCAATTGCTGCCACAAGTTGGTGTCTCTGTCCTTTGTGTATGTGTTCTCAGTCTCTTTCCAAACATAAAAGTAATATGTGGTTGTACATTGGCCAGTTTGAAAATTCTTGAGTTATCATGCCCTAATCAGATGTAGTTTGAGTTTTTGACTCACTGTTATGCAAACTAGTTTATTGCAATGGTTGCACACAACAAAAGCTTATCCTAAAATGAATTACACCAGTATATTGCACTAGATTGTTTTAAGATTTCTGATTTAGTTTAAGTCTAAACTGAATCATAAAGGCAACCTCTGAAAATGACACATACCTAGGAAAAACTGTAGTGAATCAAACAAATTGTATCTGAATCTGTATTTGATCTATTGTAAATGTACCAAATAGTGTAACAAAATGAAATGGTTAAAAAAAAATAAATCTAAAAACTAACTTTCATGCACTCAAGCTATTATATGTTCTGCACTTTGCATCAAATTTGCAATCAAAGCTATTTTTCAAAATACCCAGCTGTGTTTTTCCTAGACTTTGATAAGAGAGCATCTCCAAAGCTGATTTTTTTTTAAATTTTTTATTGAACTGAGAAATCAAAAGGTATTTATTCAGTTTTCAGTTTAGATGCATGGAAATAACAATTTCTTTTTGGTCTTCTTCCTCCACGTGATGTTATTCCATCCAATTTAGTATGCGATCCTGTGATTGAGGAGCACTTTCGTCGAAGTCTTGGAGAGAACTACAAAGAAGCAGAGTCTGTGTCTAACTCAGTGTCCATAACGGGTTCAGTGGATGACCATTTTGCCAAGGCACTGGGAGATGCCTGGCTCCAAATCAAGGCCAGGGGTGGGGGCCATCAAACTCCAGACGCTGATCCGTGAATCAGAGGGGAGTAAACATTATAATCACTTAAGTATGTGCAAATGAGAGTAGAGATCGCTCGCTCTCATTTCTTGCCAAGAATCAACTTCCCTTAACCAAGAACAGAGTAAGACATATGGTGCTCACACCGGCTGTTCGCTTGTGGACCTCAAGGGTCAACCTTCTGTTAGCTCAGATTTGTAATCTGAAATCATTAAATCTCTCTTATAATAGAAGAGAATCTTAATATTGAATAGTTGGGTTGACAGTGTTAGTTGTGGAAACAATCACAGATTTTATTTTGAAATGAAAATGAGATTCACAGTGGTCAGTTGTTCAGAGTTCATGCTCTGTTTTACCTGCCTTTCACCTGCCTTGATAGCCAAAGAGTTTCCTGCCTTTCCAATCAACATATAAGCCATGGATTTACTCTTTATTTTCATCTAAATCACACTGCTTTTGAATTTATATTACTTGAAAAGGACAACCAGGTCTCATTTGCACTATTACATTTCTGACCGTTTAAGGTAGCAGGTTACCTGTTTCAGTTGGAACTGATGTGTTCACGAATACATTTGTGATTGTGATAATGCAATTAAGGCTCTGGTCCCCCGCTTTGTGAAGACACTAGCCTAATCAGTCTTCTTTATGATGGTGAACTGGACGTATCCACTGTTGAATAATTATAGTTTCCTGTCTATACACTCACTGTGGGCGATTACTTAATAAACTAATATCACAGTAGATATCTAACTAGACAGCATGTTTTAAATAGCTGGGTTCTATTACAATCCTTATTCTATACTATATATTTACTCAGAATTTATTTTTTATCTGTAACATTTTAGAAATACTCACTGCTGGTACAGTTGTACTCAATATATTTTTTTGTATCCGGTTTTCATTAGTATATGTAGATGTATATCCTAGCATCCATCTACAAGTCACAGCCTCTGGCAAGGTTGTATGAATACAGTTAAATAGGCTGCATTGCTTTTTTTTTTTTATATTTTATTTTTTTTGTTTGTTAATTCTGTGGAGCTGAACACTGCGGCTTTACACAAGACTGAATACAGCTAAATCTGACTTTCTGTAGCTTTTTATTAGCAGTGACTTTATTTATTCTTCACATGTTGATAGTTTCATGTTGACTTTTGGCAAAATGCAGTGACAACAGATCTTTGACTTTAATGTGTTTCTTTTTGTTGTTCCCTTTTTTTTTTTTTTTTTTTTTTTTTTAAATGGTTCATTCCATGTAAAGTTCATTAGTGCCTCCCACCCCTCACCTCCTCACAGTAAGCACATTTATTTTTTTCTACAGTAACTACAGTATGCTTAATAAAGCCATAGAAAGTTACAGGAAACTAAATGGTGCATTCAAATTTTTTGCACTTTTTAATTTGTGATATAGAGTAACTGAAACAAGCTTTAAAAAAATCTAGAGTAATTGGTTATTTCGTACATTTGATACTAGGCTGATCTTCTAGCTGTGATATTTTTTTCCCTTAATTTTGTAGTCGTCATTGTTTGGGTCACCTTAAAATGTAACTTATGGTTGAACCGTTCGATACAGTGCTTTCGGTTCGGTATGCATATGTATCAAACAATACAAAATTTTTAATTTATTTTATCAACTTTTCTTCTGAGGATGCTGTCTGTGTTGAGAGCTCAGTGGATCTGCGTTCGACTACTCCGCTCAGGCTGCACTGTCGAGCGCAGATCCACTGAGCGCAGCGCAAGGTAGCAAGACCGATGCTAAGCTCCTTGCAACATGGCAAATTTAACCTCCCCCACCCTCATTCAGATCTGGCGTTTGGAACTGTTTTGGTTTTCATGTGAAGTATGACCCTGAAGGTAAGCGCATCATGGACAAAAGTAAAACAGTATGTCAGATGTGCCACGCAATGCTCAATTACATTGGTGGGAACTACTGCGTTAGCGCAGTTTGCTCGTTAACGTGTTGGCCGTCCAGCCCCACGCACGGGGCGATCCACGGTAGCTCGTTAACAGAGATTTGCCGTGTTGTGGTGTTAACGTCATTTCAGATTAACGCTGACAGCACTAGTGGGAACACAACGAATATGACTGCACATTTACTCCGACATCATCCTAGTGCAAAGACAAGTGGAAGCAGACAAAAACAACAAGCACGCATGCTACAAACTTTACCCGCGTCATTTAGACAGCCGTTAGCACATGATTCTCCTTATGGGGACCTAATATGTTTAATATGCTGCTGAGAGTATACCCCAGAAGAAGCGTATAGTATAGCTTTTATTTTGGAAAGAGCCATTTCTCTGTAATAAAGTCTCTTTTCCAAAGATGAGTGATTTCTCGATCAGATCAATTTATTATTTTATCCCTTTGTTGTTTCAGCAACATTAAATTTAAAAACTGTACTTTTGAGTTAAAATATATATTTATAATTTTAATAAATGACAAATTAAAAAAGCATGAACATTTTTTTTGTATGGAAAAAATATTGAACCAAGTATCGAACTGAACAGTGAATTTGCTCAAACTTTGAAGGTAACTACTTTTATGGCTTCATCAAACACATTAATAAAAAAAATCAGCTAATTCGATCAGGTGGGGGCTTTTTTTTTTTTTTTTTTCCCCAACAGTAAGAACAACAAAGGATTTCTCCATTGCTTTAGATTTTCATGCACATGCAATATGGGTGTCCTTTTATAAGTAGGCATCAACATTCCATCACTGCTGCCTGATGCCAAGCTGTCACTTCAGTTGTGTTTAGCTTTTACTGTTACAAGTATTTTGTCTGTTTTGAATCAAGGTGATGTCATGGTGTGTGCTGCAAAAGTTTTGATTGAGGAAAAAATGAGAAAAGTTTTGTCTTTTTCTGCAGTGACGTTTCGGTTAAGTTAAATTTTTCCTCTTGTCAAATTCTCTTTTGTTAGCGTAAACTATTTGTCCACACTGACTGAGATGGGGGTATTGTAAAGTCTAATTTTGGTCATTTAACTGCCTGTGAAAATCTATACATTTGTTATTAATATTCTGCAATTTTTAAGTCATTGCATACACTATCCTGACTTTATACTTTAATTTACTCACAAGACTATCATTGCGCCGTGCGGAATGATTGATTTTTATTATTATTTTTTTCTTTCGGTAGTGTACTTCTCTGTAGCATGGATGCTCAATATCTTGTAATCATGGATTCTAACTTTCTACAGGTTGATTATTTTCCCACAGTTGTCAGATGATTATTATGTGCAGGAACACAACAGCCTCTTGATCCAAGACTTTCTTTGTGTCAAAAGTACTTCTGTAACACTATTAGTTTGTGTAGGATTTGTTCGTACCATAGTAGAAATTAGGGTTTGTCACAGGATCTGCTTGTTTGACACAAGTAGGGTTTTCAATAATATGTTTGGGGTTTTAGTCAATTGTTATTTAATTTCTGTATTTACACTACCTGTATCTCAGACTGTTTAAGGTGTCATCCAAATACAAAAAACAGTTGTGCATTTTTGTCCTTATTTCTCTGGAAGAAAACGCCACTTTTTTTTTTTTTTGTTTGTTTGTTTGTTTTTTTTACTTACATTTCTTCAAAATAAACATATAATGCCTGCCTTTGCATATGTCTTTTTGTCCTTTATAATCACTTGTAACTGAAATTAAGAGAGTAGTGGCAAATACAGTGAATGGTTACAGTTTGAGATTAATTTATTGTCTACACAAATCTGTAGTTAAAATAGTTTTTTTTTGTCAGAAAACAATGGGTATGATGTTTGTATGAGCTGAAATAAATAAAACCTCACAATCTTCCCATACAGTGCTGCCTTGATTCAGAGTAGTGTATATGGGGGATTTACACAGTATTTAGGCTGTTTCACTCTAAAGTCTGTAACATTTGAATCTACACTTTATTCATAATGTGAAGTGAGTTTAAGTTTTATTTAAATAAAAACACCTGTCAAAAAAATATTCAGCCTTCGTAGCTCTCGAGCCAGTGTTTAGGTAAATCCTTTTTTCAGACTGTCCTTGACGTGTCAGCAATGTGTTGGGAGTCTGCTGTCTGCCTGGAAGAATAAAGGTGGAGCCTAATGAGACATGCACAGTGTGCTTGCTACAAGTGCTGCAAAAGGCACCTTGACAAAGTGCTGAATTTATTTTTTTAATATTTTTGAAAATGGGGAGCTTGTGTTTTAAAAGACACTTGAATAAATTTGCAGAAACAGTTTTAAAACATGTCTTCACTTTCTCATTATGGGTTAATTATTGTCATGTGATGGAGAAGAAACAAGTTTAATCCATTTGAAAACATGCAATAAAAATGTGCAAGGAATGAAGGGGGTTTGAATACTTTGTGAATTTGTTGTACAAAAATGTTTCATTGTTTTACATTATTCTGATTAACACAAAAGTGTAGCTGTTGACACTGTATATGGCATGCTTATTCACATACAAGCTATTTCAGGGTTATCTGGAGATGCAAAAAGCTACGTAGCAAATCTGAAGATTATTTATGAAATTGGAATGGTGCAATCACACGGTCTCAGTAATTAAAGCTGCCTTTTATGAACCATCTTATCAGGAATCATTGCTCATGTTCTGTTTTCACTTACTGCTGCTGGTTGAAATGAAGTGGTTTATCAATGTATTAGTGAGACCACTTAAACAAAGTGGAATCAGGGCTGGGGAATGGCAGTGTGTAATGGTGTTTCATCACCTGCTTTTCTGTTACTACTTTGTTAACCCTGTGATTTTTGCCTTTTGAAAACTCTTCTGAAAAGCCACTAACATTGCAAAAATATTTTATTTTCTGTAAAAGATGGCTTTAGAAAACTTGGATCACACTGGGTATGCAGATTAGCAGCATAGTAAGCACACCTCTGGGCTTGAATGAAAACAAACTCTGCTTTGAATATTCAAGACACATTAAAACAAGCCTTTATTTAATTGTTACTGCATTATTTTACTTAAAAAAATGTAATAAACATTTAAATAGTTACTGTAGCATAGTTGATTTCCTCAGATGTTGACAGGTCAAGAAGTGCGAGTAGAAACTATCCACCTTTGGCGGTGTTGGAGCTTGATGGAATCTGACACTTCACACAACAACTTTGGGGCTTGCAAGAAGTGGCAGTTAAGGGGAACTTTGGAGGTCAATACAAATTTTGGGAAACTAGGAAATGTATGAGATAAAATTGTGTATATGTCGGGCATACAAACAGAGTGAAAATTCACACAAATTACACAAATGCACTCCTCCACTGTATCATAAGCAAACCCAGCAAACCCTTAAAAAGTCCACTGTGGAAATTTTGATAAAGAGGGGTCAACAAATGGGTTGATAAGAGTTGTTTTGTGCATTTGTGCAAATAGGCTCCAAACTGTGCCACTTGTCCACAATTAACAAAAGTATTTTTGGAAAATATAAAAAAGTTTGATTACACATGAGAGTTGAAATATTAACCTGTGGGTTGCAACTAGCAACCCCCCCCCCCCCCCCCCCCCCCCCCCGAAAAAAAAAAACATTAGATGGGTAGAATTTAAAAAAGAGGTTTTACTAGAAGTCGGGAAGGGTTCCACCAAATATTAACAAACTCTGATTGGAAATTTAATGCGCTCAGTCATGAAAGTGAAAAATTGAAGTTTTGAAACGACTCTCACAGTTCCCAGACTTGAAAGTCTTTAAATAGAACTTAAACATGCTGTTCCCACACAAGGGTATGAGACATCTTAGAACTAATGTATGAAATGTCTTAAATAAAGAACAGAAAGACTTTGAGTTGGCTGCAGGTATTTACACAATGTCAAATGTAGAGTAGGTAAAATTTCCTTAGTACAAAACACAATTATCTTCTATATCTGAAACATTAACTTTTTCCCCAGAGGTACCCATACTTTTTCTAAGCAAATATTACAAATAAAGTTGACAAAACCTAAAGAATTACTCAGAAATGTTGCTTTTTAGTTACATACCTGAATATTTGCTGACACCGTGAGACTTTTTCTTCTCTGTCTTTGTGCTTCGGTCCCTGTCCCATTTGCGGTTGCTAAAATGTTCTCTATAGATTTAGTTTTCCAGTAGAGCATAAAAAGCCTGTTGACAAAGTGGTCTCACAACAGCTGTATATTTAATGTCTTTCTATTTCTACTTACTGGCTGTGTGCGCATGCAATAAATTATACGGCCAAGTTGGCTTGTTCTCCACAAGCAGCTGACTTCTTCCCCTTGACATTGTGGTTGAAGCCTCTTTGCGCTCAGCTGGCCATAGATGGTGTTTGTTTGATTTGGTGTCATGGTAACAAAAGGCTGGATAATTGCAGCTGGAACAATCCGTTACTTTTAAGGCAAGAAAAAGGGGAAATTATTGCTGGTGACTCAGTGGTGGGGATTGTCTGATGGACAATTAAGCATCAACCCAGAAAAAATGTTATCCCTTGAACTAATAATGATGGAAAACAATTGTAATTGTATCTGGGATTTTGTGATGTCTTCTTTTCAAACAGCAGATGGCGTTGTTAAACTGCGCTACAGCACGCACAAATTCTACAGTTGCTGAAGATCAAACAAAGAGCGTCATCATCCTGGGAAGGTTGATGTGGATGCAGCATTTCTTTTAGTGTGTCTATTGGTAATATGCAAATGCACTTTGCACA